GGTGCACAGAGAGCATGGAGACTGTGCCCTGCCCTTCCCCCCAGACCTTGCCCTATGCATTGCTTCCATCTGGCTGCTCCTGAGTTATATCCCTTTACAATAAACCAGTGATCTAGTGAGTAAAATGTTTCCATGAGTTCTGTGAGCTGCTCTAGCAAATTAACGGAACCCAAGGAGGGGGTCGTGGGAACCTCCAATCTATAGCTGGTTGGTCAGAAGCACAGGTGACAACCTGGACTTGGGATTGGCGTCTGAGAGGGGAGGGGAGTAGGGCAGTCTTGGAGGACTGAGCCCTTGACCTGTGGGCTCTGACGCTGTCTCCAGGTAGTGTCAGATGGAGTTGAATTGTAGGGCCCCCGGCTGGTGTCAGAGCGTTGCTTGGTGAGGGGGAAGCCCACGCACATCGGGCATCAGATGTGTTGTGAGTGTGGTCATTGTGTGTGAGGGAAGCACAGGAGGAGTGTGGCTTTTCCAACGCAGTGGTGTATAAATTAAACCTCATGTTGAGCTAGAACTTGGATGACATGACAGTCTCATAAATTAACGCTTTCTATTGATAATTATGTTAAAAAAATAACGTGGTTTTCAGAACTCTTGTGTTCAGGTGAACAGGTGTGCTGCATGCCTGTTTTGAGTGCTTCAGGGGATCCTGTCTTTTGCGCTAATTTAGGGTTATGTGCCTGTTGTTACCACAACAGCTTCTGATTATTGTTAGAGGAACTTAAGACTCAACAGAGAGATATTTGTAAAGTAACCCAAAAGAAATCACACTGTCCAAAAATAACACTATAAAGTTAAGCTTATATATAGTCCCATTCTTTTTCCTATGAATATACATTTATATTTATTTTTATATTGTTAAAATCAAGTATATGTAATGTGTTTAAGACTGACTGCATAAAATGAGCATTTTTCCATGATGTTAAAATTTTTATAAATACGGTTTTAATTACTGACTACGTGAGTATTTGTTTCAGTAATCCCCTCTGGCCTTGTATATTCTTTTTAACAAACTTTGCTTATCTGTTACTTCTTATTTAATTCCTACCTGGGTAATGTTCACTTTTGTCAACCAATTATATTTCCTTAATTTCAATATCTCTTTATATCCACTCTCGAATTCTGTATTGGACCGCAAATGATCTGCTTTTTAAAGTGACATTTATCCTCAGTATTTTGAAATATATCTTTTCATATTATTTTCTCTCTCCTATGATTTATAGCAAAAGGATACTATCTTAGATATACTATTTTACTGACTTTATTTTTCTTAGCAAAATATTCCCGTGCTATTGTATGCTTCTCTACAATGTCTTTTGGATGTGTTATAATATTGTTAGCCAAACCCATATTCTGAAAATTTTGGTTATTTCCAATTTTTATTAATAACATTTTTTCACAATTGTTAATATTATTTCCTTGGGATAAATGTTTTTTTTTCACAT